CCGTCACTACAAAACATGTGTGGCCAAACATGAGCTTCTTCCAACTGGTCAAACGCAACTACAGTTTGGTACTTCAGGCGCCAGTGCTACTACTACGCTACTTTCTACGTGTATGTATTCGGAGGAAAAAGCTAGAATGGGAATGGTGAAATTCGTTGCCGCGACGGAGCTGCCACTAGCAATAGCGAACAACCAAAATTTCATAAACTTCATCCAACAATATCTTCAACCTAGATACGTTGGGATAAGTCGAAATACTCTTTATTCTAATACAATTGAATATTTTCTTAATTCAAAGAAACTATTAATTGTGAATTTAGAAAAATATGAAAATAATATCTTTAACTTCAGATATGTGAGAATGGATTAATAAGAGAGGATAACATAGGTAATTCATCTTGTAGGACATAGATAAAGGAGGATTTATCTTCTTCTTTTTTTTTTTAAATAAAAATAATTTTGAAAATGTATATTTAAAAAATTTTGTTTACAAAAGAACAAATAAAATTGTGTTATTATTTTAAAAATTATAAATTTTTTGAAAAATGTATATTTTAAAAAACATAAAAAATGTGGATATGTATTTTTTGAATTTAAGGTTTAATTATAGTAGTGTTATTAAAAAAAAAAGCATAAAATTTGACGAGCCGACGAGCTCAACAGCTCGTTTTGGGCGAGCTCACGCAAAAACAAACGAGCCAAGCTTGAGTGGGTACGGGCCGAGCTTGACACTATTATATTCTCAGAGGCATAGCTCGACAACATTTTCTCCACCGGTTCTCTAAAAGAACCATCAAAACTGAGCAATTCACCAGACAATACAATCAGAATCTTATATTTGAAGATTTCGAAAGTGCCACTACATGTTGAAGGCATTCAAGAAAAACATCAAGAACAAGGACCAATAGAAAGTGAACCCAACGGATCATATCCACGTAAATCAAGAAGGGAAAAACATTAGAATTCCGCAGAATGCAATCAACATGGTAACTCAAAATACATGGGATATTATGTTTTCTAATAGCAGAGGAAACATAATATTCTCTCTTTTCAACATAAAAAAAATTCTTCCTAAATTACTCCAAAAAACAAAATATTAAGTACTTTCATATTCTTCTCTGTCAAGCAAAACCTACCGACAGAACACATAAAAGGCATCCATTCAGGCACCAACTACTTCAGTTGCCTCGGCCATTGGCTCCTCAGCAGGCCTGTCCAACTTCACACCAACATCTTCACTGTAATCACCATGAACCTACATAGCCATGGAGTATTAAGTTAAAAATACAATTTGTTATTATTACATCTCATGACACTGCATCCAAAAACAATACAATTCAGCACTTCATGAATGTGAACACAGGTGAATCGAGTAATCCAATAAAAGCCACAGTCGGCAATGGGGGGAACACAAAAAGTACATTGATATGATTAAATAGACTATCTGCTAAAGCATAAGCTAGTGATGAGAACGCAAAAATAGACACTTGCCTCCATCAACTTGCCAAGGTCAAATTTGGGAGCTTTCAATATCTTAACCTTCCGGATATACACATTCTGCAGAGGATAAATGCTTGAAGTTGCTTTCTCAATCTCTTTACCAATTGATTCAGGAATAAACTTCTGAACTAAATCCTTGAGATCACAGGATTGAGCCTGGTTTATCATGATCTCCCTCATCTTACGGCGTATCTAACAAAAACAGAACACTGCGATTACAAGAGTCGGAAATAATACAAAACAAAGAATTTTTTTTAATAAGAACACAACTACACTAATGATGCTATCCATATAGTTTATAAAAGTTTAACATAAACATAGAGGATCTCAGAATAATGCAATTTACTTGGCGAATCTGGCTTGATTGTGCATAGCATGTCCTCTTTTGCTGATTTGCTCGCTTTTTAGTGAAACCAATGCAGAACATCCTCAGAGTATAGTTGTCTGTAGTCTTGACATCAACATGAGCCTCAATCAAGGATTGCCATTTCCTTACAAGTGACCTCAATTTATCAGTAGTGAAGTTCATACCCTGCAAAAATAATAGATAAAAACAGAAAAGATAAGAAACTTATAAATAAAACAAAGAATGGGAAAACCAAATGCTTCAGCTATTTATCATACCCAGAAGTTGGTGAGAACATTCTTTCCCTGAACATCCTCAGCTCTCAATCGGATCTTCCTGAAGGAGTGGTCTTCATCACCTTGAAGATCAGCCAAAGATACTTCAAAAACACGATGCTTGAGTCCTTCTGAAGCAATCTAATAGAGGGAACAATGCAAGTAGTTACGTAATTGCAACCAAGACAGGTTACGATGATGTCAAAGCAATTGTATGGCAAAAATGAATTCCGTAGTGGAAGCTTTCAAAGTATTAGAAAATGTAAGTTCTTTTAAGCCAAAAGCTTATGTCTCAGAATCATTGACTGACTCAATATGAGCATCGAACTCAAAGTTTGGTAAAGAGTAAAATCAGATTTTCAGTAGATTTTAATAAAAGTTGATGAAATGTGCAGTTGAAAAGTTGTGGGCACATGAAATGTACCGTTAAAATTAATAACTGACTTTAACTTGAGATTTTAATCCAAACCAAACAGGCTAAATCTTCACGCAAAATCAACAGTTGCCAGATCCCTAATCATTCAAGAGGAACTAACAATTAATAGGAATGGGAACATAATCCAATGGAAACAGTGTTTCGGTTTCCTTTGACAGAAGATGAAACCTAAAATAAAATAAACCTCAATAGACCTTCTGGATAGCAAATAGTACTAGATCCATTGATGAGGGGAAAGATTACAACTTTACAAATGCCAAATCAGAGAAGTAACTGAACATTTATATGCGTTTCAATGGCTAAACCAATTCGTCAATCAATTTTAACATCACATTAACATGAGTCATATATCAATGCTCCAGTAAAACGAATATAATTTAAAGAAAGAAAATTTACCTTGGTACCCTGCGTTCGAGTAACGAGGGTTTTGCCAACGTTTCTGGTATTGAAAACTGATGGGGCTTTGATATCATACCAATCCTTCTTTGCAAACGGATCGACTCTATATGAATAACAGTCGGATACATATAGGCATAAAATTTCAGGAAAAACAAAAATCTCAAGAAAAACCTATATGAATGAAAATGTAAATAATACATAATACAGTAATTAAAAGTGCTCACACTTTCTTCTTCCCTCCCTTCTTCCCCTTCGAGATCCTCTTGTTCTTCCTGTATCATATCAGAATACATGCAAGCGCGTTAACGTGAAAATCAGAAGCAAAAACTTCATATATAAATATGGTATTCAGAGATGAATCCATGTATGTGGACTTTGAGATGGACAATACCCTACAGCCATGGTTGCGGTGGTGGAGCTGCTGTAAATCTGCGGCGCTGTGATACTAAAACGTGCTCAACAAAACCCTAGGTTTTCCAGACGGGTTTATATAGGGTGTGGAACCTTTAAAGTTACACGACATCGTCTTGTTGATGGGCCTGCTGGTTCAACGAGAAGTCTCGTCACTTGTTGGTTAATTGGGCTGAACGTTTGTGCAGGGAAATTGTTGAAAAAAATAAAAACAAACAGTTAAGAGGTGCTTGATGCACATTTTTTATAAGAGCTTGTTTGGGAGATATTAAAATCAGATTAAAATTGAAAATATAGTCGTTAGAGTTGACTTTTATTAGACGGGTGAGACCCAATAACGACTATATTTTCAATTTTAATCTGATTTTAATCCTTCCCTAACAAGCTCTAAAAATAATGCATTTGTAGCATTTTTGATAAACAATAAGTGGTTGAAAAAAGAATGAAAAAAATACATTTTGAAATAATGGGATCAAACAAGGTGTAAAATTGATATAATAAAGTAGTTGTAGCATTTTGTTCGCTTTAATCAAATAACTTCTTTCTCTATATGCTCAGCATTACCATCCTAATCACTGCTTCCATCTTGTCTTTAAATTGTCACTCATTTCCATTTTAGGGATGATAAAATTTTTCGACTTGGCCCACATTGCCTCACAATGATTAGAATCGAGAATCCTTACCCTGAATAGTAAATGGGGTCAAGATGGACAACTTCACTCCGTGCATTCTTTGGTTGTGAGCCACGCCTATAATAAGGCCCTAAGGAGCATAGTCCCACCCTGAATTCTCCAAACACTCAAGCAATCTCGATTTATGGCGAGTTCGGTAGAGATTAAAATAGAATTAAAATTGAAAAATTAGTCGTTATTGTTGAATTTTATTAGACAAGTGTGAACCAATAACAACTATATTTTCAATTTTAATTGAATTTTAATTTTAGCCAAACATACTCTTATATTTTATTATATTTGTATATTTTTAAATTTTAGCCCCCGTTTGACCTCCATTATTTGATATTATGAGTTTGTTTGAGAGAGATTTTAATCCAATTAAAATTGAAAATATAACTGTTACTGGGTTCCACTCGTCTAATAAAAGTCAATAATAACGATTTTATTTTCAATTTTAATCTGATTTTAATCCCTCCCAAACAAGCTCTATAATTTTTGTACTAGTTTTTTGAATAATGTGTAGTTGAAAAAACATGATTTTTTTTTTTTTTGTTTATGTGTAATATTATCTTATTGGAGAATGTATAGTTAAAAAGAATAGAAAAATAAATGTATTATAAATTAATGGGAGCCAAACAGAAACTTTATCATATTTGAGGAAAAAAAAATATTTAGTAAATGGAGATTCTTTAATCCTGTTTTACAAGATCGAGTTTCGGCTTTTGGTGGGAAGTAGCCGGGTTTTTGGACGGAAATCGTAAAGGCTTTTTGACGCAAGAAAAAAGTTGAGGCTCAAAGCGTAAAGGAGAGCATATATTGGGATGGCAAGTGCAATTTACCCTAAAAATAAAACCTGCGATTATCAAAACCCAGAAGCAAAATCTCAGAAGAAACCCTAAACCAGCCAAGAGTAAAAATTATCATAAGAACTAAAGAATCAAATCAAAGAGTGAAAAGTCATGGCAGAATCACAGGAAAAGTTAGTAGAAGTTTCGCTGAAAGATCAAGGCAATCAATTCTTCAAATCAGGGAATTATCTGAAAGCTGCTGCTCTTTATACTCAGGCCATTAAACAAGACCCCTCAAATCCCACTCTTTACAGGTTTAAATACACACGTTTTTATATATATAATGGTTCACGTTGTTCTTTTGTTTTGTTGATTGTGGCTACTAGATTCTGACTAAAGATTGGATCTTGTTGCTTCAAGGTTGAATATTTTGTTCAGTAATGAAGTTTTGGATTCCAGATTATACTCACTGTTTATTCATTTAGTATATAATTATTTTCTCTGTTTGTGTTAATAATGGTTCTAATTTCTACTTCAGGATTGAATTTGTACTTTGTAAACTTCAAGAGTTCATTTTATTGCTTGAAGATCCATTTTTTCCATTTAATTTTGAAAAATTTTACTTGGCAAAGGAAGTTTTTTCTTTATTTATCTCGAGATTGTACTTTTGCTGAAGTTTTATACTAGTTTTACTGTTGCTCTACTGGAACTACTGTGAATAAGCGGTCAGTACAGTGAGAATGCTCAAGGTGCGCAAGTAGGTTTATCTTAAATGGATTTGGGATTTCACTCTGACTCATTTAATAAATTGTGTATATAAATCTTTGCTTATCATACTAATCATAGAGCTCTTGATGGTGCTTGAAAAGAGGAAATTTATATTAACTTTAAGAAATTAACATGTACCTGCAAGTATGAATATGATGCTGGAAAATGAGTCCAAGGATGGTTGAAGTGGTGTAATGAAAACATGATAGACGAGAGGAGGAAAAATAGATGGCTGATTGAAATGATATGTAAAGTGGTTTAATGAAAATCAGCTGGTGTAGATCTGTTTTGGAAGGAGCATGATGTCTATATCTATTTTCGATGTTGGAAACCTGTCAAAGTAAATGCAGTAGCATATAACACAAGTCTGCCATCGTCTCTTTTTCAGAGAACTAGTTAAAGAAAAATAATAATGCATAAAAGCCCATTTTAATTGAAGGACTTGATTTTTGAAATCATGTTTGTCTGAAAAATATCAGAATGAGACTATGATGTTGTTTATCACCTCGGCAATATTGATTGACACTATCCTCGACAATTGGAAAGACTATCGCATAATCTGAAAAATCATTGGATAAAACTCAATCTGCACCATGTTAGTGCTTCTACTTCTTTTGTTTCTTTAGTCAATATCCTCTATGTGTCTATGAGTGTTGTCTGTGGACACCAGTTTTCATTTTCTTCCAATCCTTTTGATTTAATTTTTCAAATATCAAAATATTGATTGCAAATTGGTAGTTAAGCTGGAGAACCTGCAACTTCAAATTATGTTCGCTAATGATTTTTACATTTAATCCATTGTGCGGGAATTTGACACTGAATTATCTATTTCCTTTTGCTATTTTGCTCTATACCAGCAATCGTGCAGCAGCATTTCTGCATTTGGTTAAACTGAACAAAGCTCTTACTGATGCAGAGACAACGGTCAGTTTGAAACCTGACTGGGAAAAGGTATGTTCACTCGATTGTAAAATGTTTCTCGAGCTCGGGACTTCTCCTTATGGAATGCCACTGACTGCTGCTGCAGGGCTATTTTAGGAAAGGATGTGTCTTAGAAGCCATGGAAAGATATGACGATGTATGTATATGTTATTCATCAACACGTGTCAAATAATTCCAGGCAAAACATGCCAGAAATACTGAATTCTAGTTTGATGATGTAGGCCTTAGCTGCTTTCCAGACAGCCTTGAAGTACAATCCACAAAGTTCGGAGGTATCAAAAAAAATCAAGGGGCTTATGCAATTGTCAAAAGATAAAAAGCGAGCTCAAGAAGTGGAAAATATGAGATTGAATGTTGATATGGCAAAACATTTGGATACAATGAAATTTGAATTGGTGAGTGAGAAGAGACATCATCTGTCCCTTATACGACTGCTTTATGTTATTTTTTATACTCGGCTCTTATTTGATGTTTGTTAATGATTTATATTGTTAACCATCTTATCTAACAACTTAAGTTGTTAGATAGGAGATACTATTTTATTTAAATCAAGTCTTCAACCTGCCCCTTCTTGTGGAGGTAGGATTCATTTTCTATCAAAGGATTGACAGGTGCACAATTTTCATATAGGTTGGGGGTGAGACATGAAATGTACATCTTACGTTTGCTTTGACACCACGTACCATGCTAACCATCTCATCTAACATCTTAAGCTCATGAATATATTTAAATTTAGTCATAAATATTAAACATTTTGGTCTTTCTCTACTCACAACATTCTCTCGATAATATCAACTGAATGATTTTTTTATTTTTTTTTGCAGTCTGAGAAGTATGGAGGAGAAGATTGTTGGAAAGAGATCTTCTCTTTCCTTGTAGAAACTATGGAGACTGCGGTAAAATCATGGCATGAGACTTCTAAAGTAGACCCTAGAGTTCATTTTCTCCTCAACAAGGAAAAAACAGACACTGAGAAATATCCTCCTGCCGTTAATATTGATAAGGTACTATACTTTTTGTTTATTTTTCGTCTAGGTTTTACGTAGGGTTATCAGAAACATTGGCCTTGTTCATATGGTCGTCTGAATCAGTAAAAAATAAATTTTTTTCTCTTTTTTTAATATATATGTCCATTTTAGCATCTATGAATACATAAATTAACTCTCTAATTTCCTCAATTATGCCAGGCATTTGAATCACCCCATACTCACAGCAGTTGTGTCTCATTCCTTAGACAGTATGCTCAAGATTCTTTCTCTCAAGCTGCTTGTTTAGTGGCACCGAAAAGTATAATATCCTACCCTCAGGTATTGTTTCACTTCCATTTAGTGCTTTATATTCAGTTTTTCCATTTTGAAATTCAGCATTTTATTGTCAAGAATTTGAATTTTTATAAAACTGTGGTGAACCGCTTACATCCTCAACTCTTTACATTTGCCTTACTCTTCTTTTAACCAATTACACGTATCCTTATGATAAAATAAAACGCACAAATGACTATTGCCATTGTCATTTGTAGACAAAGGTTTTGGGAGGGGTATTAATGTCATGATTCATGAGTTCATATTTTGACTGACAGCATTCTTCTCTTCAGTGAACACTTCTTCCTTTCTGTCTTATTGCACAAATCACTAAGAACCTTCATTTGTCGTTATATAGTTTGCTTTCCTTCAAGATATATTTTACCTTCAAAACTGAAGTACGGTTTCTACCTTAACTGAACTATTCTCTAATAATGTCTATAAATGCAGGTATGGAAAGGTCAAGGATCAAGGAAATGGAAGCATGGACAGCATGATGGTTTCTTTATCCAATTTGAATCGCCTTTATTACGGAGATTGTGGTTCGTCCCCAGTTCTACTGAAAAGGGGCAAATCTTGTGCAGGTCTCTCTCTCTCTCTCTCTCTCACCCACACACAAAAACAAGAAACACATTTGTGAAAGGTACAAGCAACAAACGGATATTGAATTGAATAACTATCAAAGATGATGAAATTATTTGAGTATAATAACAAACCATGTCAAAAATCTGCATTTTTTCCATTGTTATTAAAGGCCTGAAAGTCCCTCTTTTCTCTTTAGGGATCCTGTTGGGTTAGACATCAGTGTGCATGAAATTCTTCCTCTCCTATTCAAGCATGCAGAATAGATGCAAAAAAGTGCTCCCTTTGACTTGGATCAAAGTCGATCAACAGACAGCTAATTGTAGCCAAAGCAAGGAGTGTGTAATTCACAGTTTTGACGAACATTGTACCCAATGTCATTTTTGTCCAGTCTATATCGAAGCAGATGGATGCGTCCAAGTTCACTTGCTTGTCCTCCTCGGAGTGGGCAAGAGTTTGGATTTCCTTGGAAGTCATTACAATTCAAGGAAAGCTTCTTAAACTGTGGAAAGTACTACTCCAAGTGGGATGTCCTCCTTGTGTGATTTGTTTTGGGCTGTTTTTCGAACTAAAATTTTTGTTTGGGATGAGTTGTATTGCCAATAGTTGATTGAAGACTGATGCATGGTGTGGTTTATTATTATGCTTTCATAATTGCGATCAGCTGCTGTAAATTCGTGAAGTTCAGGATTTTTTGTTTGTTTGTTAGATTCAAGGACAAAAAAAATAAAATAATAATAAATAATAATAATTGAAATTATGCATGTTGGAATGACAAAAAACACTACTTATTCACATAGATCTCTCTGTTATGTTCAGCAGCACCTGAATATATCGCGTTACGGTAATAATTATACATTGCACGAAATTAAATACTTTCCCTTCTTTAGAATTATGATTCTTCATTATTCAAGGCTATATGCAGTATACACCAAATGTTGGTACAAAGAATTCTTGCAAAACTATGTTAATTAATGTTAAACCATTGTACCTCGAATCAAAAATCACGTTGGGACGGTTGTCCGACAATTCAACACTAGAAAACCATGCGCTCATAACACATACAATGTCATTAACATGTTCATATTAAAAAATTTCATCAAACAAACAAGAATTCTGGGAATAAAGCAAAATTGAAATTAAAGCCAAAAAATGGCTTTATACTGGAACTATGAGCTGACTTTATATTCAAAATGTTAGGTGATTTGGGGAGTTGTTTTTATTTCGCGTCCTCCATTTGTTGATCACCAGGAGTTTCTTCTTTGTCCTCGCCATTGCCCTCATTAGACTCCAATTGTGATGGATGCGGAGGCAAAACCTGCACCACAGTCCCTAGAAACTCGTCGATTCTATCTCCCATGCGCGAGTCACAATCTTGTATGATCTGCAAGTATAGGACCAAACAACAGAAAAAAAAATACAAATAAATTTGCAAGTGAGAAGGGGACGGCATGCACTTGCAACCAGATATGATGCATAATTGTCGACGATTTTCTCAATCGATATATAGTACAAGACACTTGCATTGACATTTCCCCACTTCCTATTTGGGATTTGCAAAAGATCCAAATGGAATGTAAACAGCTAAATGAAAGTGTATAGCCTCTCAAAGCACTGCCAAATTCATTTTTATTTCTTGGCATCAATCACAAATCCAGCAGTCTGTATAGAACTTAGAAATTACTCCCATCAAACCTTTACCACATATTTCCTTTTGATTAAGATAAAGTTTTCTGACATGAACCGTGCAACATCTGCACTGTGCAGTCTAAAGGGTGTTTAATCAGCATCTTGAGAATTCTTCAATCTGAAATGATCGATGATATTGAATGAAGATAAAAACTAACACTAACATTTCAATTATGAATGCACAAAATTTATCCAAGAGCGAGCAAAATAGTAATGGTTTGAGAGCAATTACTGGGTCTATCTCAACTGCAGATGAAGGCCTAATGTTGACAATATTAAGCATCTCACCATTAGTGAGGTCGTACTTCTTACAATCTTCCACAAACTTATGGATGATTTCTATTGTCTGATTGGATGCAACAGTTTGTTCTAAATAATCATAAACCTGCGCCAAACTAAAACGTATTAGCCCTGAATAAAACCCTCTACTTTACTTGATAGGGAAACATCAATGATGTAAATTAAGAACAAAAAGCTCCAACCCTGAATTCAGATGGTGCCATGGCAGCTACAGCACGTGTAGGATCCTTCCCGGCCCCTCTTGATCTCAAAAGCTGAAGCACTTCACAGTTAGTAAGTACACCAGCATTCGATTGGAGTCTGCAGAATATTCAACAGCAAGAGGCATACAAATTCAGCGAGTCACTTTGGCATAATAAGACAGTAATCAACAATAAAAGTGCTAAATAAATTGGAATCTGCATTGTGTGAGATAACGTACATCTTCATTGCCGCGGGCTGGTCGATATACCAAGTTTTTAAATGTACATAAAAGTAGTTTGAATGGTCACGGGCAATTGGGTGTTGGCGTAAATTACCTGCAAATTTTAAGAGTCCTCCATTATACAAGGTACGTTCCTCATATCCCATATAATATACATGGCAAGTAATTATGCAGTAATTGTGAAATACACCATAATCTACCAAACAAAAATGGAAACTGAAAATTCTGTTTCCCATAAATTTTTTTTCCAACAAGTAAAATTGAGAAAATACAAAATTATATGCACTAAAAATTTATCAATAAGAACTCTAATGATGGTATCACAAACCGTAGATTATTAAGAACAATGAGAATATGAAACACAATTAGATCTAATAAGGCTTTGACAATCTCTATGAAAAGATATCATCACTTCCACTTGACAATTCTTGCATCAAAATTGCACAGGCAAAAAGTCGGCCAATGCTAATAGCTCTGGTCTTCAATTGACACCTTCTACAATATTAAGAGGCGGAGCCAGGAATATTGTCTAGTGCAGACGGAATTTAATCAAGGCTGGCCGGACTTTGAGATAAACTCTAGAACAATCATGCTTAAATATCAGCAATATATAATAACAAACCATGTCAAAAATCTGCATATAAAAATTTCGCATGGACAGCACAACAATTCTTATCAATCTATTTTAAAAAACCACGTGAAAGATCTAGTGAACCAATTCCTTTACAAAAGCATCAAACTATGTTAATTTTAATCCACCTATCGAACTTTTAACCTATTTTAATGCATCGGAACATTTTAAAGCAAACAAAAATATATGCCTCAACCACATAAGTTGCCACTCTTAATTTATGATCAATTCTTATCACATTCAGCATATAATCACGTAAGTTACTAAATTAAAGAAATGCAAGTAAAAATTAAAATCATGAGAAAGCCAATCAAGGACGATAGTAATACTTTGTCAAGAGCTGATCAATATTTTAATGTAAAACTTACATAAATTGAATCAAGGTGACATGACATTCAAGAATCAGAAGTCTTTTGCAAAAACCAAAACAAATGACACATACCATTAACAAGTTTGCTCTAATATTGACATCACCAAAGAAGGTCATTAGTTTACAATCAAACAAAATGAAGCACACAAGACAATGACAACAGTGTGAAAAATAAGTAAACCATGAACTGGTAAATTTTCATCATGAGAAGTATGATTATCAACATGCCAAAGTGCATAGCAATGTTAAACCATAATAACTTGATTATATTTTCATAGTCCTTCATTAAGACAGAAAATTTCCTGACCATAGGTGCACTTGTTCGGAAAACATTGTCCTTGAGGAGGTAATTATGCCCCTGTTTGAACCACGTTAAAATTTTCGTTCTCATTCTTCTACTCATTTTCAACCACACATTTTTTAATTAAATAATATTTTCCATCACATCAATAACTTTCCCTTCTTGTTCAACCACACATTCTCCATCAATTTACCATTCTAAAATACACTCTTCCAAAATAATGTGGCTCAAACACACCCTATATGTTGATACCAAAACGGAATGGAGATAAACATTAGTTATTAAGCCCACTAGAGCTCATGGTAAGCAATCTCTAAAGCATGTTTACCGACGGGTTGAGATTAAAACATCAATTAATTTACCAAAACAGTGTATTGCAGTACATGTGAGGAAACATTGTTTCATATAAAGTTTGTACCTTTCTCCCAAATTTTCTGATAAAAAATTCAAATAAATCCCATGAGTTTCCCATCTTTATCTCCAGTTTCAACAATCATAATAAACCCCATCACTCATCAGTTTGCCACAAAAGCACCTCAAATTCAAAATGCAATGAAATAAAAGTTCAGATCAGCTGAATGAAATGTAGAACATCATAATAAAATAAAAGTGAAAGATATTGTGCAAATTGGTTTAAAGATTCATAAGCTGAAGGCAAACAAAATGCAGAGACAAAAACATTTATGAGAATGCAAAAATACCATTTCCAAAGCCTTTTCCACTGAAATTAAAGCAGACCTTCAAAACTATAGGTAAGACAAGAAGATAATGGTTTAGGTTCTCCATGGATAAACATAGGAATTGCTAGTGATTCAGCTGAGATTTTGACCGTATATGGCTACAAACAAGATCCCACTGTCAAGGAATTGTGATCAATAGTTTGAATATGAAATAATAGGAGTTTTAGGTGAAATTTTTTGAAAGGCCCTTTTTGTTTATAGTAAAAGTGAAAAAGTCGGAACATAAAATTTTGCATTCAAAAAACATATTTTTAACTGCAATTTGAATTTTGTACTTATTAGAAATTACCTACTTCTTCAACTGTTCACGGCCTTGTCTTCCCCTACCCCATATCTCACCGCGACCCATTTCAACTTCTCCCTTTCTATCATCTTCTCTAGAGTACTAGAGTAGTTAATTATTATGAAATTATGAAATTTTTATTTCAATCAAATGCATTTCTTTTATGAACAACAAATGCCCAAAACAAGAAAGAAATTTATCATAGATTTCTTAAAGGAAGGAAAAAAAGAAATCATTCAATTCATGAGACGCAAGTTCGAAGAAATCATTCAGCGCTTATACCTTCTTCTTCTGCCAATGGACGAAGGTGCCCTAACCCTGAGACCTGAGTGCTGGTACCGTACGAAAATCAAGCAGGCAGAGACTTTAAGAGTGAGAGCTAACAGTGGCAGATAGCGGTCGTCGCGTCGAGCGAGAGAGGGGATGAAAGGTTAGGTTTGGATTTGGGGAATTGGGCTGTGTCATAATAGATTATAAATTTTCTCTTGGGTTTCAATGCTCGTTTAGATGAAAAGCCAAAGGAGGTACAAGGAACATTAGGAAGCCAGGGACATAAGACTAACACAAGTGTGTAAACATAGATTATTTGGCTTTATGCCTGTCATATTTCGGTGCAATAACACTTTCATCAGACTAACATACAATGTTTGGAAATTTAATACTTATTGAAGGTGCATACTGAATAAAAGCAGTAAAAAATGCACCTTTTGTAAATTACAGCAGCTTAAAAATAAATAGAATAAATAGAAGAAACCCAGTATGAATTAAAAAGAACCACAGCCAATACAACTGCACCGAAAAAAAAAGGAGGAAGAAGAAGAAGAAGCTAAGTAATCTACAACCAGATAAAAAGAACGAAAATAGACACTGTGCAACAAGAGAGAGAAGCGAAAAATCAAAGAACCAGATGAAAGGAATATAAATAATAAAATAATAGAAGAGTTTATAACCTGTTGCTGGATTCCGATCGTCAAGCCGCCAGGTCTTTCGCCGGAGAAGGTGATCNGCCGCCAGGTCTTTCGCCGGAGAAGGTGATCGCGTCTTTTCTACGTTTGTTTACTGAGCTTTGCCCTGGCCCCCTTAAATTAAATTAAATTAAATTACATTAAATCTCTTCATTACCACTACATATTCATCAAATAAAATAATATTACACACAAATCTAAAATATTTCATTACTTTTTCACCACACGTTCTCTCATCAATCACTATTCCAAAAATTTTCAACTATCAAAAATATCAAATAATGAGGGCCAAACAGGGACTTTAGTTAATGTGCAAATTACCCGATTCCCTACTTTTCAAAATTTATATTCTAAAATCAGATTTCAAGTTTTAATTTTCAAAAATATTCGAACGAAGGAGATTTGATGGAGCGGCGGCGAAGTAGGGCTTCCTGAAGGGGTTTCCAACTATCGGTGTTCTGGAGAGAAATATCGATGCCAACAATAGCAAGACAATGAGTGGCTTCACCATCTTCGTTGTGAGTACTGCTCTAATCGACAAAAAATGACGGTGCCCACAGCGGTGCTGTGAACATCGACGTTACATAGAGAGCTGTGGGTGTTCGTGCCCACTTGGTTAGCCAGATTCACTAGTGTATTCGCACAGTCATGGCTGTTCCCTCAGCAATGGGTGCTATCGCTGCACTGGGTTTGCACAAAGCCACTGGGTATGTATCTGTGATCCAGATCTGATGTGAATTT